GCTGATATGTCGGCTCTTTGTGCAGATGCTTCGACGATTTCTAATCATGTAACTTGAAGTCACTAGGGAATGCAGACACATCCAAATGACGAGTCCCAAATGGGACGAAATTCGCATCCTGGATTCCAATGCTAGTCATCATCGACCAATTGACTTCAAAGTACTAAAATGATTGTTTCATTCAAAAAGACAACGTCAAATAGGAATTACTGTAACCAAATGAAAGATTCATAAGGCATAATGGTAAGGAATTCATAAATGTCTCATAGGCCATTTTAGAAGTACATGGAGACTAAGAGATTAACCAGTGTCTTGCTGGAAGGTACTGATGTATGGATAAAAAGAATTCTGGACGCCTTTTTGCATTATGATAACTTATTTATGTAATCTGACAACTTGTTGAAGTGTATTGCATTAGTTGGTATTATGCAACCAGTGAAAAGTGTTACACACAAGCTACAGTTACTGGGATGTCTCCAGACTATTAGAATATTTTGAGATGATTATGTCTGAATTGTAGTTATTATGCATTAGAATATTTGCACAAAACGATATACTACTAACTAATTGAAATGAGTAGTTGTATGTCACCAACATCGAAGTGATCTAAACACCGGATGGTTGTTTCATTCGTTGTGTAACTGGCACAGTCATCATGTTTTTACTCTCCGTTGTCTGCAACAAAATGCAAATCCTAAATCCGTAGCCTTCGAGTCACCTGACAACTCCAGTAGGTCGAATAAAGCAGCTCAATATTCAGAAAGAAGACAAAGCAATAAGTTCGACAGGGTGCTTAAACTAAACCCTAATCCTAAACACCATAATTTTGAAAATACGTCTAATCATAAAATTCTAAATACTAGCAGTTTTGAACAGACATGAAGGTGTGATGTTAGCTGATGCATAGGAAATCCTGATTAATAAATAAAAATGGATATGTATCACTAATTAATCAATAATACTTGGTCAAATTCCTGACTGTCTATATCTTCTTATGGAAACGTTAAGAAATGTTTACCCACACACGCGTGCACACTCTGCTTAGAGTGTTTAACAAAGGTAGACCAATATGTGTAAGTTCGAGGTCAAATTTTGATCACAGCTCATACAATTTTGTTTATTATACTTGTTGATACTTGTTGAATGACTCATGACTGGACAAAGTTTGTAGAAGCAAGAGTTGTACTTTTTATAGATATAAACATCTGCTATATTAATTTCGCTTAATTTCCCTGAAGAAGTTCGGACCAGATTTCCGAATGAAACGTTGGAATTACTCATTTCAATCTCGCTGAGATTTTACAAATATAATTTTTTACAAATGAACTCATTTAAAATTTTCCATAAATGATGTAATTGTATCTCCTGGCGACCACTGTCTTGACTGGTTGTTAATTTACGTCTCTTTTGATCATACTTTTATTGACCTGGAATTCGAACTTTCTTGTCATGCGATTTACTTTTTATTAGTTGGTAAATTTCGTATATTATAATGTGCTTCTTAATTGCTGGCTGACTCACTTGAATACTAAGCAGGCTTCTAGGAATTCTCTCGCATTACTCTCAGGTGTTTCGTCTATTTAAAATTTCTACATTATCCCAATCAAACTGGTTTGCGTAATAATCTACATGCATCGATTTGACAGAATATATATCGTGTCTTTTCATAGCTAATTTGTGTTCTTGGATTTGGATTCGAAGGGGACGCCCACTTTGACCACCGATTTAGTATCTATCACAGTTCATACAGTTTATTTTGTAAATGGTATCAATTTTATCTTCTTTTTCTATTGGATCTCTCGGTTTGCACAATACTTAATGAAGTGATTGTGCTGGCTGGCTGGCTGGCAGGCTTGTGTGTTATATCTACTTCAAACGGTTTTAATATTTTAGCCGTTATTTCATAGATATTTTTTATATATGGTAGGATGAATCTCCTTGTAGTCTTTGATGTTGGTGTCATAACTCAAGTTTGAACACTTTTTGAGGAAAGTGTGAGGATTTGCATTCTTTTTGAGGAGACGGTTAGTAGGTGGTATTTTTCCTCCATTCTCTTCAACACTGGAGTAGTGCAACAGTATGTCTATATACTCCTTGGACATCTTGTCAATAGCACACACCACACTTTAACTGATCTCGTTTAGTGACAAAATCTACTTCTGAAATTGACTAAAAACCTCTACAGAACCTAAAATTTGAATTACCACCTAACTAGTGTGTAGCTAACCATTTTTGTCCAAAATATGAAGTTTACAGAACAGTTGATTCATTTGATTTTAATTATGAAACCTGCTGATATGTAATTTTCATATAAAAGAAAACGTTGTGTAACTCTTTTTAGTCCAGATTGACACAGTTATGTTTCCTTGCATTGTGTATATCGTCCATCGATGTTTCTATCTATGGACGGTTGTATTAAGGCATCTCACATCTGAAAACAAGGAAACTTAACAGATTTCAGAAATAAAAATAACGTTTTTTTGCATTTGTTATTATCAAATACATAATTAGCGTTCATTATTAGAACTAAATGTTATACATTTGATTCTGATTATAGACAACATCACTTACTTTGAAAAGGGTTTTGGAATAGTTAACGACTAATTTCTGAAATTATTTAATTTCAAATAGTTCGCCAAGTCATATTTGCTGGTTAGACTACTTGGGATAGGTTTGGGTTGGTTGATTATTTTTTGATGTAATTGGTGACGTAGAAATCTAGGTTGCGCTGGGATTCAAACTGGCGCCTCTCAAATTAATAGTACGGCGCTTTACCAGTTTACCTATGAAACCTGGCAGCTAAGTAGGTTATCATTTTACTGTAATATCGAGTTGTCATTGGTTGATTACAGCGAATTGACGAACTGTTTAGCTTATCCGGTATAGTGTCGGTCATATTTGTCAAGTAAAGACACTATTAGAGTCGGTTTTGATATTATTATTATTGCCTTGGGTTCCTAGTGGGACATAAGGCTTCACTAGGACATCTCCCTTTCACCCGGCTCCCCACAGTCCTTTTTAGCTGGTTTCAAAAATTGCCAAAGTACTCCCATCTCCTCCTCACACGATCTCCTCTATCAATGAAAATACCCATTGAGTCATGAAGAAAATAAAAGACAATTCAGCGAAGAAAATTTTCTTTATCGACGAAATCATCTTCAACGGCTAGGGAGTTCAACAACTGCCATCATTCTATCCAGTTCACGTCGGAATCAGAGATGAACTCGCAATTTCACTTTTTGGATGTTTTGCTAAAAAGGAGATCTGACGATTCTCTTCGAAGATCAATCTACAAGAAGTCAATATGATACAATCGATGGTGAACTGAAGATACTCAGACCAGTCCTCATGGAAAATGGCTAACCTTCAAGATTCATCGAGGAAAACATGAAGGTAAAGCAAAATCCCAAAAGAAACTGCTATTTATGAACGTTGAATTTAAAGGTGATACCACAGTTGAGATTCTGAAAAACCGCTTATCCAGATCACTGAGAAAAACCTTCTTTTCGGCTGAGCTACGGATCTCTTTTTACAGCCGACAAATGATAAATGGATGTGTGAAGGATAAACTACCACTTTGGTCCACTTCAATGTGTGTTTATAAATTCAACTTCTCCTGTAGGAGCTAGTTATTTGACCACACAAAGCGCAAACTTTCCAAAAGCACCCCCTGAAGATTATCCGGAATGGTTAGCAAAAGGACAATGCAAGACAGTTACTAGCTCATTTCTCGAGCACTTAGTGAAATCAATCCATGCAGCTCCACCAGAGTCCTCTTTCAAGATTATCTACAAGGTAAAACTGAGTGGTAGAAAGAGTGTTAGGTTTCGGCATTTATGTATGGCGGAGGCGCTGGCAATTCGTCAATACAACTTCGAACTCTGTATACAGAAATAGTATGTCCAGTCTCTTATTCTCACTTGGACTTAACATCTTCATTAGTCCTAACCTGTAAATTTTGTATTTTTAATGATTATTTTGCTTTTATTTAATAATTAATTCACTATTATCACTCTCACACACGTTACTTCTGTACTTTTTCTCACCCTCTTCACACTTGTTAAATGAACAGCCAACTACCTTTCTTCCCACTCAATAAAAGTTTTAACCTTATCAAATTTCTGATGCTTTCTTCCTTCCTACTGCTGAGTGTTATGTAATCTACAACTTTTATTTTTACTTTCGGAGCCACTTCTAAGTGGACTACTATACATTTTTGGTAAATATAAATACAACTGTACAACCTCTGAAGATGATTTCGTCGATAAAGATCTCCTCTATGTCATCCTCGAAACCATGTCTTTTCCCGTTCGGATTCCACTCTAGACTCTGCCTAGTGTGTGATGTCACTCACTGGTTTGCTGAGTGTGTTTCTAACTCACTTCTACTTTTGTCGGGCAATAGGTTGTTGTTTGGTTTGTGGACAGAGTCTATTGTTGCCATCTGACCTTCAGTATGATACCAGTGAAGGCAGCTGTAGGTAAAAAACTGTGTTACCCCGTTCGAAATGCTTTTTAAGAAAGCACCTAGTCACAGAACCGTACAGAATCACTAATTGACCTGATATCTATACTGAATATCTGAATCTTCCTGTTTACCTTTAAGTTCAATAGAAAGCTTTCTTGTATTTCCCTATGAATGAAAAACAAAAATAAGAGACCGAATACATAAATATTCTCTATCTAATTGTGTCTATAAAATAAAATGCTTGGAATGTGATGCGATATACATCAGACAAACATCTCGAGAAATCAAAATAAGCAGGAATGAACACCATAGAGAATCTGTTCGACCACCGAGAGATCCGGTTAGACTAGAAAAGCTTGAAAATCATCAGCCATAGGTCTACACGCTATAGAATCAGGCCACAAAATTGATTTTGACAATATTGAAATCATAATCCAGAAAAATTTTAGAAATCACTAAGAACGTCTAATATCATCAGAAGTACTTCATATCAAGTGGAATCCAAATTGTCTGAATAGGAATGATGATGGAGTAAAACAAAATTTGACCTGGTTACAACACCCCCGCCCTCCCCATGAAGTGACAAAATCAACACGAATGTGATAAGCAATTCCATTATGTAAACACGTGCTGCTTTTATAATTTCACACACTTATCAAATCCGACAATCTACCCCTGGTTTTGTTATCTTTACCAATTGGCCAACTTTACAACGCAAAATGAACCCATACTGCGGAACGATGATTAAGTTGCTTGATATATAAGCTGAGATTTTCTAAATTCATTGGGAAATACAAGAAAACCTTT